ATCGGGATGGGTGTGTCAGAGGCAGTGCGGTTGGCGCAGGATAGAGCAGGGTTTAGGGCTGTTGTGCATAGGGTCGCTATGAGTCGAAAACAGCTCGACAGCACATAACAACAACAACAACAACAATTATTATTATTATTTTATTTTTTTTAAAAAGAGGTCCTTGACAACAGATTTGCCCAGTGCACTATGTCACTCATTTCTTGACTGCTGCTTCTGTGGGTATTGATTGTGGATCCAAGTAAAATGACAACTTCGTTGTTTTCATCCTTTGTCATGGTGTTGTTTGTTGGTTATGGTATTGTCTATTGTTTACCCTAAGAGCCTCAGTGCCATGTCAGTTCTGATTCTTAGTGACCTGTAGGAGAGTTGAGCTGGGTTTCTGAGGCTGCAATCTTGATGAAAGCAGACTGCCTCAGCCTTCTGTTCCAGAGCAGCTGCTGGCATCAAACTACTGACTTTTATTTTAGTCTCTTAACTACAATCTGGCAAACAGTTGGTGCTTCATAACAGATAGACACATAGTTACTGCGTGAAGTCTCAGCTCTGTGGAACTAAGAAGCCTTAGTGCCTGTTCCCAGGGCAACAGCCTCAGACAGGAATCCTTGTTTTCCTGTCAGGGCCATCTGGAAACAGAGGGACACCTCTTTTTCCAGGGTATGGTCTCACTCTTCAGCCAGGATGTGTACTCGGTGGTGTCTGCCTTACCAGTGTGTTGCTGTGCCTTCCTCTGGGCTTGTCTCAGCCTTAAGTGAACCCCTACTCCACCCCAAGTCCCTGTGACTTGCCCACAACACTCAAAACTGACAGAGATCATAGAGGATGCTCCTACACCCTTCCACCTACTTTTCTGGGGAATCCTTGCCAGCTTAGATACTCCAAAACAGGTCAGAAATTGACATTTTTCCACTCTCTAAAGAGTGGAATTTCATCTTAAATTATAGGTGTGCCCTGTACCCAAACCAGAAAATAAACCTGCTGCCATCAGTTCCCGTTCATCGTCTCGCTTCATCAGGTTTCTGAGGATGTAAATCTCTGTGGGAGGAGCAATCCTGCAGAACAGCTGGTGAACTTGGACCGCCTGCCTTTAAGTGAGCAACTCAACACATAATGCACTGTACCAGCATGGCACTGTTTTGTCTGTGACAGAGCCTGAGACCCTAGAGCAAAAGTGCTTTTTTGCTCATGCACCGTATTTCACCTTAGAGCCCTCTTCCCAGTTGACCCATCTCATTTGTCAAGACTGACTCAGGTTCACTCATGAACTTCCATGTGCACTTTTATTGTCAGGTGGCACAACAGTTAAGCACTCACCTGCCAATCAAAAGATTTATGGTTTGAACCCGCCAGGGAACCCACCAGGCTTCTTCCGTGAAGCCTCATTCTGCTATGATTTGACGTCCATACAAAGCTAATGGTTTATTATTTCTTGAGAAAGATAGTGCTTCTGAAAATCCAGGACTAGGACCTGCTTTTCAGATTCTTTGTGGTATAGGATGGCCCTCTAACGAGATTGTCATTGTGTAGACTAGTGGCATGCATTCATTATTGGAGATTTCATGGGAGGCTCATGGGTAGATGACAGCACAATAGAAACTGATATTTGGATCCTGCCGACAAAAGATACTAGTTACATTGAAACCAAGGAAGAAGGTTTTCATATCATTCTGATCTCAGGAGTAGCCCAGTTGGCACAGTGCTATTTAAGAGGCCCATGTTTCAACTCCCCAGCCACTCAGAAGGTTGGCCATTTCTGGTCAGATTTATAGCTTTGGCATCTCTGCTTCCCGCAAGATTCTCATGGCTGGAGTTGCCTTAATGGCTATGAGTGTGATTTTAAAATGGGTAGCTGTACTCCCTGGGTAGTGCAGAAAGAGACCCTGGGTGGCACAGTGAGTGGTTCAGACTTTCAGCTGCTCTGGGGTCAGATGTGTCAGAGAGGAGTGGCTATCCTCTCTGTAGATCTCCCGCCTCAGAAAGCCCACAGTGCAGGCTGACTCTGCTCTGCTGGGTCCAAGTGAGTCTGTCTGTTGCCAGCAGTGGGATTGGTTTTATTTTAGATAACATTGAGAAGAACCTGATGGTACAGCCCTTAAGTGGTTGGCTGCTAGCCAGAAGGTTGGCTGTTTGAACCCATCAGGGCTCCTTGGGAGAAAGATGAAGCAGTTGCTTCCATTTGGATTTATAGCATTGGAAACATTATGGGGGATTTCTCCTTTATCGTCTGAGATGTTGTGAATTGGAATTGACTGACTAGTGGTGGGTTTGGTTTGGGTGGGCCTCCCAGATCCTCAGAATGAGAAAGGCAGTGGTCACTCTAGGCCACCTTGGTGTCTAGTCTAGCCAGTAGTAGCCACAGTAGTGGTTGGCATGGAACCCGAAAACAAACCCCAGACTTGACTCATCTCCCTTAAGAGGCCATGCACTCTCAGGGGACCCTTTGCCTCTTTCAGTGCCCCTACTCAGGAGGTGCAGCTCGAAGCCACAGTTCAGGGAAGACACCCCACAAGGAAAGCAAGGTTCCCTGGGGCCACATCTCTGCAAGCCCATGGGAACCCGCTGTGGCATCTGGCTTGATTTCATTTTAACTTTACTCTCCACTTTCCAGGAGTGCACCCTGCAGAGAGCAAGAGAGATGTGTGGAACTCTACTGCTGGTGGCTTCCATCTGTGCTGACTGTGGCTTTTGTCCCTAGGTCTGAAGACATACCTGATTTCGGGTCACAGAAGGAAGGAGACTCAGTGCAGCTGTTCCCAGGCCTTGCTTTCTGGCCTCGAGGTCATTGGCGGCCCCCAGGGGTCTGCAGGCCCTAGGTTACAGGGGACAGCGGTGCCGGGGAGTGCAAGTGACTTGGTGCAGACTGTCCAAACCTTTGATAACCTTAAGGTTAGTTTTTTGGTTTTTCTTTTGTGTTTCCCCATCCCACTCCTAAAATTCTCTGTGAATTCTGCCATAGAGCCTGGAAAACTTAGCCTTTATGCCAGTGGTATGCCTTTCCGGCTTGATTTGTAGACTTTTAAGAGTCTGAAGTAAGCAGCACTTGATATTACCAGAATGTGAGTTTCTTTGGAAGTTACTTCTCTTTTCTTCATTGTATAAAGACATTTTTCTGAGCGGTGTAGCACCTAACTCATTGGTCAGCGGTTTGGATACATCAGTGCTCTGTGGAAGGGAAACAGGCAGTTTCCTATGGTAGAGATTTTGTCTCAGAAACCTGATAGAGAGTCACTATGAGTCAGAACTGAGGGGACAGAAAGATTTTTTTGTTTTTCTGAGTTTTGAAGAAGCCATAGCTAAGTGGAATCCCTTGTTTGTTACAATGTTACCAAGCCAGCTCCAGTGCACAGTGACCCTATGCAAAACAGCATGAGACCCTGGCTGGTCCTGTGGTCCTGTACCATCCTTACAATCCATAATTGTAGTCCATCCACCTCATTCTTACTGACCCTTCACTTTATCAAGCTGATAACACATCCTAGATATATGGAGTTCCTGGTAGCACAATAGTTAAGCACTCAGAGCTAGGCAAAAGCTCGTGGTTTGAGCGGTGCCTTGGAAGAAAGGCCTGGCCTGAAACCCTGCAGAGCACAGCTGTGCTCCGACATGTGTGAGATCCCCGCAACATGATGAGTGATGGTGAAAGGGGCGCACCTGCATCTTGCTGAAGGACAAGACTGTATCTTCTCTCATAGTCCTTTGGGAGATGTGCGTTGTTCCTGGAGAACCCAGTGTTTCTTAGTTATTTTCCCTGGTTTTTGAGTGCATGAAGCATGTAACAGGTATGGCTGGCCAAGAAGAACATGGTGTCTTGTTGGACAAAGGTCTTCTGGTGGCTACCTGGAAATACACATTCCTGCACTGATGCTAGGTCAGATAAATGTCTGAGTCTGTATGCCCCACTATGGACATGTAAAATGTGCCCAGCTGAGACTGCTGGAACCCCAAGACTGTGGCCTTAGTCACCCTTCAGACCTGGAACAAAACTCACCCCTGTAGTTCACCCTTCGACCAGACATAAACAGGCCGATAAGGTGACCAGTAACACCAGGGAGGCACACACTCCTTGGAACAACCAGCCAACCATACGGTCAAGACCCCAAGGAAAAAGCTCAGCGTACAGTAGAAGGGTGAGTGGAAATGAGAGTTGCAGGAAAGAAGAGGGAAGTATGTAGTTGTAATGTATAGTTTAATTTATGTGTTTAACATAGTGTATATTGTAGTTAATGTCTTAAAATATGCTTGATGGCTGAGTGGAAACCCCATTTGCTTTGTAAACTTTCACTCAGATCACAATAAAAAGGGAAAAAAAGAAAAAACCTACCTAATTCACAAGCTGTTCTTCAGTTTATAAAATTGATTTAATTCTTCCACCAGTTCTTTTCATTTGTATAGTTTGAATATTGGTGCTTTGCACCAAAAAGAAGAAGAAGAAGGTAGTTGTGATGGCTCCATCTCACTTGTGTCCACAAATGGCAAAACAGTGTATTGGCCGGAGTGGCAGGCTGCTATGGTCTTCATCCACACTGTCCCCCTCTATCCTTATTTGTAAGCAGATGTGAAAATTTTCTATTAGCATTTAAGCTTAAATGTAACAATAACAAAGGGAACTATGGTGGCTTGGTATATGTTCTGGTGGCCTAGTGGTACGAAGTTGTGCTGTCAGTCCAAGAGCACACCATTTTAATCCACCAGCTAATCCATACGAGAGTGATGGACTTTTTCCAACACTGTGATTGAAACCTTCTGAAAACCTGTGTTAGAGTCAGCTATGAGTTGGTTCTGACTCAACAGCACAAAACAGCACCCAAAAGATTGGCTTTTCAAATCCACCAGCAGCTCCTTTGGAAAAGGATGGACATTCTACTCCTGTGGAAGTTTACAGGTTCAGAAGTCCAGGAGAGAAATGCCATGAGTTGGAGCAGCTTTGCAGTGGGTCTGGTTTGGTTTGGGTATAAAATAACACAGCCATCTGTTAGAATATCTGGAAGATCTTCCCATGTCGGAATTCTTAGGACCCACAGGCCTGTACTTTGTAATTGCCATGTTCAAGTTTACAGACTCAGTCATGTCCGTGTTCACTGGATGCTCTTGGATGGAGTACAAGGATTTCTAGCTTCAGCACTGTTGATGCTGTAGATCAGGTAGTTCCTTGTGGGATTGGCATGGGTGTTGGGACATTTAGCAGCCTCCCACCCTCCATTCAGTCATTCTCAGAGGCACCTCACCATTGTGAAAATCAGAACTTCGCTCTGCCTGAGAGGTGCTCAGGTGCTGAGGTAGGGCACCTCTTTGTGTTCTCTCTGACACATGCACAGCAACCAGCACATCAGGACTCTGCTCCAGAGGTGCAGCTCTTGACCCAGGCGCTTGCTCAGGCTGGTGTTTCATTGCAGCAGAGCAAGAGATCCCTGCCTGGAGCTGCTGTCTGTCGAGGTGAAAAAGTAATCACTACAGTTGCAAAAACCCAAGAAAAAGTTGTTTTATTCAGCTTACTATGTAAAAAGAAAAGAAATAAGAATTGAGGTCTGCCAGCAGTTCCTCCTGAGACCAGAATTTTCTACATCTCTTTTGGAATTTGTGCAAGGTCAGATGAAAGGCTGGATAAGATCTGCTCTTTTGTTATCATGCCAGAAGGGGTGCCTACATATAATGCTCACAGATTTATTTTATATGAAGTGAACTTTGAAAATGGTAAAGTGCCAGTATTGTACATGCACAGACACAAGGAGAAGATGAAATAGAAGATGCCACTGCAGGGACTGATGTTGGGTGCTTTTGGGTCAAGTACGACTCATAGCAACCCCTGTGAACAACAGATATGAATCCTGTCCCATCTTGTGTCATCCTCATTATCTCTGATACACTTGAGCCCATTGCTATCGGCACTCTCAGTCCAGCTCTTTGATGATCTTCCTTTCCTTCACCATCCGTCCACCTTTCCAAGTATGATGTCCCTTTCTAGAGAATAGCCTTTACTAAAAACATGCCCAAAGTATGTGCAACAAAACATTGGCCTCCAAGAAGCATTCTGGCTGCACCTTCTCCAAGACATATCTGTTCTTTTGGCAGTCATATTCAGCACTCTTCTCCAACACCCAAGCTCAAAGGCACCAGTTCTTCTGTCATCCTTATTCATTAATTGTCCAGTTCTCAGATGTGATGGAAAAGACCATGGCTTGAATCAAGTGCACATAAGTCTTCAGGTGACATCATTGTTCCTCAGTAATTTTTAGAGAGGTCCCTGGAAGCAGACTTGCACAATGCAATATGTCTTCTAACCTCCTGACTGTCTTCTAACCACCCTCCAAGGGTGTTGATTTTAGATCCAAGTAAAATGAAATTGTTGACTATTTCAACTTTTTCTCCATCTATCATGATGTTGCCTATCAGTCCAATGCTGAGGATTTTTGTCTTCTTGATGTTGAGATAAAATCCATACTAAATACTTAAGAGGTATTTTCTGTTAATAAGCAGATGGGTGAGGGAAAGAAGAGAATGGCTTTTTCTTAATCCAACTGGGTATTATTCTGTGATATAAAGGAAATAGGCTCGAGTTTAAGTGTTCTTTGATTGTCCAGTGAGGCTGTGCATATTTCAGATGCTAAGACTGTGTGAAAAGTAAAGGAACTATCCTAGGTAGATAGGCAAGTGCAGCTCAAAGGAAAGTAGCATGGAGGTTTTCCAAAAGCAGCGATTTGATCTTTGTCAGCTCAGCACTGCAGGCAAGCGCTCTCCTGTGGGGCAGAACAGCTGATGTTTTTACTCTTAGACACATCAAGGATGGGGAAGGGAAGGGTTGGTGTGGATATTAGGTGCCATTGACTACAGCTGATATAGGGACCCTTTGAACCCTGCCCTATCCTGTGCTATCCTCACCATCTCTGATCTACGTGAGCGCATTGTTACAATTACTGTGTCAGTCCACCTCAAGTGTGGATAAAGAGCACACTAATGTGACCTTCCAAAGATTACTTTTAAAATTAATTTACTTTAAAAAAATGAATTTACTTACTTATCCTCCAGGCAGAATTTATTTCTTTGAAGGAAATAAAATCTTGGAATGATTTCTTTAGTTTGCATTTGGATGAAAATTTAGAGAGCACAGTAGTTTCCCATTTGGCAAGTTGTGCACATTATGATTGGTGACATGGGTACCTCTCTCAGCACTCTAGTGCTGCTGTAACAGAGAAACTACGAATGAACTGCTTTAATAAACAGATGTTTATTCTTACACTTTAGGAGGCTCCAGTTCAGAGTGCTAGCTCTAGGGAAAGTCTTTTCTTTCTCTTTATGTCTCTGGTTCTAGGAGGTTCCTAGCACAGGAACATGGGTCCAACGACAGATACCACTCCTGGCTTTTATTTCTTGGTGGTGCTACAGTCTTCTGTTTGCTCTCTCTCTCCCTTTACTTCATATAAGATTAGAGATGATACAAGCCACACCCTTGGTAAGTCCTTTATAGTCAATCAAAGCTGTGAACTGGTAAGGATGTTGCATCTCAACCCAATCCTTTATTATTGATCCTCTCTCTGATCACATCAGATCACATTGTGAGGGATGATGACACCATTCTGTTACTGTCTCTGACTCATCAGATCACATCATGAAGATAATAACATTATTAAATAATTACCTCTAACTCTACTTCACTAGAGGCAATAGGGATATCATAGCCAATGCTAGATGGATCTTGGCCAAAAGCAGAGAGTATCAGAGGAATCTCTGTGTTTCATTGACTATGCAAAAGCATTTGACTGTGAGGATTACAACAAATTATGGCTAACCTTGAGAATAATGGGGATCCCAGAACACTTGATTGTGCTCGTATGAAACCTCTACTTGGACCTTGAAGCAGTTTTCAGAACAGAACAAGGAAACACTGCATG